TTTTAGATTGTATTCTGGACATTGTGACTGTTGAATGATATGTTGTGGAGACTGGATTCTACTATATTCCTTCAAAGAGTTGTTTTTCATTTATCAGGCAATTAACTTGGTGAGATTCGCTATTTTTTTTCCTAGCTGAGCTGTTTGCAGTCTGCCATGCGCATGTGCAGTTCAGAGATCAGTCAGAGACTGGGACACAGTTTACACACAGAACCTTGAGTTCCCCATCTCTGGCTTTTTTCTTTCTAGATTTTCCCTCTCACTTATTGGCAACTGTGTCTCTGCCTTCCTTAGGCCAGGAAGATGGTTTACAATGGGAGCTTCCACTGTCCACATGCTTTGGCTGTGCTTCACCCCAGGCCAAAGTCATAAAGCCAGGGAACCCACCCTGTGCTGGTCCCTTCCACACTTTGGCTTTCCTCCAAAATCTGCCTGACTTTGCTGACTTGAGAGCCTTAAGAGAATTGTTTTTTGTATTTTGTCCATAGTTGATAGTTATCTGCAAAATGGTCAGTCTTCTGAGATTTATTCTACCATAGTGGAAGTGGAATTTGGAAATTTTTTTTTTTAAATCAAGTGTTTTTTAGAAAAATCTGAAAAGATTAGACTATATAGGTTTGTTTTGTATTACCAAGGTAATAAATGCTTGTTGCAAAAATAACAGAACATTTTAAAGAAAAAAATGAAGATCACCTACAATTCAACCACCCAAAGATAGTGTCTGTTGCTATTTCAATGAATATCATTCCAGGAATAATATCTATTAATGACATAATTATTAATCAAATAAAATGTTAATTTCATTTTAAAAAATGGAAGTGATTGATATACACTGTTTTATGACCTTTTGTGCTTATATTATGAAATGTCTGTACGTTAAATATAGAACTTGACTTTTTTTCCCCCAAAACAAGGCTTAGATAAATTTAATTTGAACGTTTTTTTGGTGGGTTTTATTAATTTTTTAAATTTATTTTTTATTTTGTTGAGAATATACACAGCGTTATGTTCTTTGAGTTGTGCATCCGTTCTCACCCTCCTTTTCTGAGTTGTTCCTCCCCCATTAACATATACTCACTGCCCCCCTGGAACTCAGCTTTTTAATGATTTTTATAGTGCACATCTTTGAACACTCAACTTTTGAACATTGGTTCAATTATTTCTTTTGAATAAATTCTTAGAGATGGAATTGCCAGGTCAGAACTTAAGAGCATTAAATATTGTGTTATTTAAGCAGAATGTGACATAAAGAGCTGAGGAATTAATTGCTCATTTAGGTTTTTAATAATCATAGACATTATTGTTCCTTTCATCCTAAATACACTGGTACACAAGTGGATTTGTGATGCCATCTTAAATTGACAAATCATATGTTTAGTCATTATTTGCTGAAAAGTTGAAAAATCATTGACTAGATGTATCAACCATCTTTTATTGGAACCAAGTCATTGTCTCTGTGAGTTCTATGTTGCCAATAAATGGAGGAACTGCTCTTGATAAGCTTTCAGATCTTAATTTTGATCCAAAATGTTATTACGATTTTTTAAAATATAATTTCAAAAACGTACATGATTATTGCAAAATTCTAATAATCAGATGTAACCACTGTTTTGTGTATGCAGATACACACATACAATATTTTAAAAAATTAATGTAAAATTGAATATAAAATAACTTTTTCTATTTTCTCCTATCCCGCCAACAGTTTCAGAAATAAAGTAGGTAAAAATGTCAAAATAATTGAGCCTTACTGCCTTAGCTAAGCCTTATGAAACCATTTATACTCCCAAGAATCATACTCTCATTCCTGAAGTACATCATAAGTAAGTTTTGATGTTTTTTCTGTTTTGATTCTTAGCTGTGTTGTAGGGTAAAAACATCACTAAGTTTAGTAAAGCAAAAAGAAAATTTTATTCGGCATATATTGAAAAAGGCAAAAGTGGGAAATGGACAACCATGCTGCCAGAGCCATGCCTGCCCAAGTCCAAAGAATATTACAGAACAGGCAAGAATGGGAAAACGGACAAGCATGCTGCCACAGCCACGTCTGCCCGAGTCCAAAGACCATTACAGAATAGGCAAGAGTGGGAAAATGGACAAGCATGCTGCCACAGTCATGTCTGCCCAAGTCCAAAGACCATTACAGAATCATCAGTATATACATATACATATATATATATATATATATATATATTACAAAATGGGCAAAACCATTGAAAGCTTTACATTTTCAGATTGGCTAGAAACTGTAATACTACATTTTGAATTGTCTTTCTTAACAATCATTCGTACAGGTCAGTAACAAGTCAGGAGGGTCTTCATTGGTCCAACAAATTTCTATTCACTAAGTGTTAATAGAAAAAGGTTTAAGAGTGGAAAGTCTTTTGTGTTCTGTTTGATTGGCTTTATGTGAAAGTTTCCCTAAAAGATATTTTCCAAGATTATCTTAGCTATTGTCTTTATACCTCAGGGGCCAGTTGATGTGTCCTTGTGAGTCCTTGTGAGCCCTTGTGAGCCCAGCTCCTGCTGGGTCACATTCTCTATGCTCAAGGACAGGGAATAACAACTCCAATATTATTTCCTAAATCAGGTGATTTATGTATTAATGTACTGATTCCATTTCTTCTGGTTATCTTAACAGCAGCAGTCAGCACACTATGACTGTATAGTGAGCTTGAGAGAATTTGAGGTTGATCAAAGAAAAAGATAGGACCATGAGAAGAAAGCAGCATTCTCCACAACAAGCTATTGGGGCCGATGCATTGACAGCCACACGCAGGGGGTGGTCCTCCATAGTAGGAGGTCTTCCCAAAGCAAGCAGTGAAAGAGCCACCAGAAAGGGAAGAAAGCATGAAAACCCTGGGAAGAGGAGAAGGGAGGAGATGCTTATGTGCATCTCCGCGACATCCTCCTGCAGCAAGGTGGAGAGAGTCTCGGGTCAGAGAGCTCCAAAGGCAGCAGCACCTTAGGGTCCTTATGACTACACTATTTTATCTAGAGCTAGCAGATGTTGGGTGTAGTTTTGCAGGGTATGTAAAGCAGGCAGGCTAAAAATTTGCTTATCTGAGCTATTTTTATAACAATTTGAAGTGTACAAATTTGAATTTGGCACTGGTAGGCTTTTTGGGCTAATGGGCCTCAGCTTGCTATGATGAAGTAGCAACATGGAATTAAGACACAGAGGCCATCTTTGACTCATTTACATAACAAGACCAAAGGCCAAACACCTGCCTCCCCCCACCCCCGGCCTCCCACCCAGGTCTTGTTTTTGTAAATAAAGTATTATTGTTTTATTTTATGCATGATGGTTTCATGTAGAATTGAATAATTGTGACAGAGATTGTATGGTCTGCAAAGCCTAAAATATTTACCATCTGCTCCTTTAAGAAAAGTTTGACCCCTGTCTTAGGGCATTCATAGAATAAAATGGAGGGGTCGGGGAGTGGCACAAATGCATCAGTTAAACACAGCCAGCATCATAATGCTACATAATGGTCCATGATATTACATAATGGAGTTATACCATACATAATAATAAAGGCCTGAATGCTTTCTCTCTAACATTTGAAACAAGATAAGGATATTTGCTCTCACCACTTCTGTTCAACATTATAATGGAAGTTCTAACCAGAAAAATTAGGCAACAAAATCAAATATAAGGCATCCAGATTGGAAAGGAAGAAGTAAAATTATCTCTATCTGCAGATGGCATGATCTTGTATATAGAAAATCTTAAGGAAGCCACAAAAAACTATTAGAACTAATAACTTGTGTTCAGCAAGGTTGCAAGATAAAAGATCAACGTACAAAAAAATTGTATTTCTGTATAGTACCAATGAACAATCCATAAATGAAAAACCTCAAAAGAATAACAATCTTGGCAGGAAAGGGGAAACAGACAAATAAAAACAGAAGGGATAAATAGAAAACCAAAGAATAAAATGGTAGACTCAAACCCAACCATACTGATATTTGCATTGAATAGTAATGGACTAAACACTCCAGTCAAAAGGCCAAGATTGTTAGAATGGATTAAAAAAAAACAAACTCAGCTACCTGTAGTGTATAAAAGATGCACTTCAAAAACGCATAGGTTGAATGTAAATGGATGAAAAATATAAGATTTATGTTGCAAACAATCACCTTAAATGACTAGCATAGCTCTTGTCTCAGGGAAAGACAACTGTCAGTGTGGTTGGTGAGACAGAAGCACAATATGCTGACCATGTGATCTAATGTTAATCTGGATTTCTAAACTAACAGCTACGTTTTTGAGAAAAACATGTTTTTCCTCAGTGATCAAAACCAGGATGTGAAATCATATGCCCCAAGGGATCTTGACCAGGTGACCATCTGCACCCCTCAAAATACACTTACCCAAGAAGAGTGCTGTCTGGGAGCTGTTGCCAACAAGATATTTTTGCAAGATACACAAAGAAAATACATGTAAGCATCTTGTGACCATGATCTAAGCATCCTTAAAACTATCTGTAATCACTAACCACAACTATTAATAATCAGTAACCAAAGTGTAATTATTATAATATTCATTGATTTTCCTGTAATTGCCCTTCCTATAGTTTAGTTCTCTTTTTACCCCATAAGAATACTTGTATAACAAAACTGCCCCAGGCTACCTGGTTCCATTTTCGATGGGCTACATAGTTCCCTAGTTGCAATTGTTTTAAAACCTTAATAAACCTCTGTGTTTTAACTTGAAATAGTATTAAAGTTTTTCTCTACAACACTATATTAACAACAGGTAAAGTAGATTTCAAGTGAAAAAAGTATAAATGACATCAGTTCATAATGGAAAAAAGAAGGTCAACTTAGCAGGCACTTCTAACAATCATAATTGTGCATGTGCCTAATCACGGAACTTAAAAACATAAGAAGCAAAAACTGACAGAATAAAAAAGAGAAATAGTTCCACAATCGTATTTGGAGATTTCAATACTCCTTTCTCTGCATTTAATAGAACCAAACAAAATTTCGTAAAAATGGAATATCTGAACAATCCTATCAACTACCTTGATCCAATGGACATTTATCGAACATTAAACCCAGTGACTGCAGAATACATAATCTTCTCAAAGGCACATGGTATGCTTACCAAGATAACTTATATTCTGAGCCATGAAACAAGTCTCAAGTGAAACAGAAGAAATATAACAAAATATGTTTTCTGAAAATGTTGTTATCGTTGTGTGTCATCGAGCTGATTCCCACTCATAGCAACACTATATGACAGAGTAGAACTGCCCCATAGGGTTTTGTAGGTTGTAATCTTTATGGGAGCAAATCATTAGTTCTACTCCCTCCCCCGAGCCCCCCACCTCCAGTGGCTGGTGAGCTTGACTGCTGACATTTTGTTTGGCAGCTAAGCGCTTAACCATTGTACTATGAGGGTTCCTTTTTTTTTCTGGCCATAATGGAACTAAATCAGAAATCAGTAACAGTGAGATAATTCCATAAATATTTGAATATCAATGTACCTTTAATCCATGGCCAAAAGAGATATTACAAGGGAAGTTAGAAAATATTCTGGACTGAATGCTAATGAGAATACAACTCAAAATTTGTGGCTTGTAGCTCAACAAGTGCTTAGAGGAAAACTTATAACTTGAGATGCTTATATTAGAAAAGAAGATATTTAAGTCAATGATCTATGCTTCTTAAGAGACTAGGAAAATAAGAGGAAATTAAAATTAGCCATTGAAAATCCTAAGGAGCACAGTTCTACTCTGACCCATGTAGGGTTGTCCTGAATCAGATTCGACTTCACGGCAACTGGTTTTATTTTGCTGTCTACCCTACTGAAGCAGATAACATAGGAGGGGTTTTCATCAAGATTGTGCCCTGCAACTGACTGCTGAGGAGAACACACATATACTTTTTCAAAGTAGAAAGTCACCTCTTCTTACTATAAACTTTGTCCAAGAAGATTGGAAACATCTCTTGCTTTAGTTTTGAAGCCTTTCTTTTAATATAGTTCAGAGGTGGACTCCGTTTAGATTTTACATCAGGATCCATCCTGTTTATTGGTTATGCCACTGCTGTTACTGAAATTTTATTGTTACCTTCATGTAAATTCTGCATTGCTCTTGTGCATTCTAAGATATGTTTTTAACATAGCTGAGAATAGACTTTTTCTGGTCACTACGTCTTCCAATTGGCTGCAAGAAAATTATTGCTTTTTGTTTATTTGTTTTTTATTAGGCTACTTAACTAATCTCTTTTGATTGCTGGGTAGAAATTCTAATTGATTATCTTGGACTTTTAAGATATAAAATAATATAGTTTGCAAATAATGATAATTTTATTTTGTCCTATATCAATACCTATAGGATTGCTATGAGTTGGAATGGACTAGATGGCAATGGGTTTGGTTTTTTTAATACCAATACCTATTATTTCTATTAATATTGTAGTGATAATCTTGTAGTAAAATTATTGTTGCCTTGTTGTCTGGTGATGGGAAGGATTTATTATTAGCACTGACCATTAGGAAAATAAAGTTTCAAGATTAATATTATTAAAATTGTGAAGACATTAACTCTATGATGTTTTCTGTGTTTTACAATCAAACAAACCCATTGGATATAGCATGTTAAATTGTTTCAAGCTTATCATGTGTGGGCCACTCTAGCCCATTATCCCCAAAATTTCATTTTACTGCTTAATTAGCTCTATTGTAATTCTTATATTATTCAGCCTGATTGTTGTTAATTCTCTTATTTTCTTAAGAAGGAAAAAAAGCCTTCTTATTCATGTCATCTGATCAAATTCTCTTGATGATCCTCTGTCTGGAGCATCCATTTATTCTTAGTGATCCAGAATAAGCAAACTGTCATAAGGACACAGAATATATGGGACCTGCATGCCTTGCAAAAAGAATGTGATAATAAACGCACCTGTTCTCCACACACAATTATAGTGAACTTTTTGTTTTGTTTTGTCAACTTTAATTTAACAAATGGTCTACACTATCTTGTTCTCTAACTGTTTCTTATTATAATGAACATTTTTACTGTTGTAAAAATATAAGTAGCACAACATTTGCCAATCTAATGTTTTTCACTTGTACAAGTCAATGAAACCAACTACATCAATCGTGTTGTGCAACCATCACCAACATCCATTGCCATGTTTCCACTTGCCTAAACAGAAACTCAATGCTGGGCAAGCAAAGATTCCCCTCTTTCTCCTTCCCCCTCACCCCTGGTAACCATTGTTAAACTCTGATCTCTCTCTATTTGCCTATTCTAAGTGTTTCATATTAGTGAAATCACAGATTGTTTATCTTCTTGAGATTGACTTATTTCACTCAATGTAATATTTTCAAGGTTCATCTATTTGTGGCAAGTATCTGGACTGCCTGTTTTTTTTATGAACTATCTGAGTTGGAGACATTTTGTGCCTTAACACTAAATACTTTAGTATGTATTTCCTAAAAACAAGGACATAACCACAGTACAATTATCAAAGTCAGGAAATTTAACACTGACACAATACTATTATCTAATTCACAGACCATATTCAAAATCTGTCAATTGTCTAATAACATCCTTTATAGCTCATTTTTCCTGGTCTAAGATTCCATCCTGAGTCATGCGTTACATTTACTTGTCATTATTTCTTTAATTTCCTTTAGTCTGGAACATTTCCTTAGCCTTTCTCTGTGCTTCCTGACCTTAACATTTCTTGAAAAGAATAAGAATAAGCCCGTTATTACAGACTATTCCTCAGTTTAGGTTTATCTGGTTTTTCCTCCTGATGAGATTGAGGTTATGTATTTTTGACAGGAATACCACAGAGGTGAGAGTGGGGTTTTCAGTGCATCGTATCAGAAGGCACATGGAGTAGGTTTGTTCCAATATTGTTGAAGTTAAGGTGGTCATCTTCCAGTTCTCTTCACTGTAAAGTTATTATTTTTTGTTTAAAATTAATAAGTAATTTGTTGTGAGATGCTTTGACACCATGCAAATATCCTGCCTCTCATCCAATTTATGAGTTTTAACCTTGATCCATGATTCTCTAACTACATCATTCCTTACTTTTTAGCATTCTGCTGTAAGGAAGAACTTTCCATTTTCCTTCCTTCCTTCCTCCTCTGTCCCTTTTCCCTCACTTTCTCCTTCCCTTCCTTCCTTTCTCCCTCCCTTCTTTCCGTCCTTCCTTCCTACTCTAATGAACTCATGAATTCTTATTCTATTCTGTGGATTATACTATGGATTATAATCCATTATTCTCATTATTTGATGTTCAAAATAATCTGTCCAATATTTGGTCAGTTGGAGCCTCATCAAGTGGGCTTATATGTCCTCTTGATATATTCCTATCGTTATTTGTGTACTTCTTATGTTTCGGTGTGATAACGTAGCTCCAGGTTCATCTTGTCCTTTCCCTGCACTAGCCCTGGAATCAGCCATTTCTCCAAGGAGACATGTTTCTTTTCAGTGGGGAATAGAATTTAGAAACCAATATTTGGGCACTTTGAGATTTTGTTGCTTCAAGGCTCTCTCGATATGTGTATGTTGAGGAATATTTTTGATAACTTGTTGGAACACTCAGTGATTTATATGTGGTGTAAAAGAGTAAACTTTCTTCCCTTAATTTCTGAAAACTAGCGATTGATTTCACAAATGGAAAAAATGTATCTTACAATTCTAAGGACACCTTTTCTCTATATACTGTTAAGTATTCTATACTGTAATCATGCAAGTAAAAAAATCCCAACATGGCTACGGGAATGGACCAGAGGACTTTGTTTTTATGAGTTCTTTGAAAGTTTTTTTGGGGAACTGTGGTTCACTCACTCTTTGTCTTAATTAACAAGTTTGATATAATTGGATCTTTGGGGCATTATCCCTGAAGCAGCTGAAGTTTCAAACCTCTGTATATTATCACTGCTGAACTTTAAATTGTTCAGGGACAACAGGTATTCCCCCAAAACAACAAATGATTTAAATTTACATAGTATTTCATTTGCTATCCTTTGGCATTTTAAGTTATGGAGGCAAGAGTCAATAATTTTGAAAAAAATGAATGGTACTGTTAATTTTTACATATAATATTTAACATTTTTAACATGGATATGTTGGTTCTCTTTCTTGCACTTAGCTAATTTATGAAGTACATTGTAAAACACTTATTACTTGAAGCTAAAGACAGGGAATTTAGCCACCTGGACCAATTTTTCTTGGCTACTGTTTTTAAACAATAGGAAATATCAAAGCCTGGGCAACAGGGCTGAATTTTCATTCTAAAAAAAAAAAATGTGTTTTCTTTGCTAGTCTTTTTTTTCTTTTTTAACTGTACTTTAGATGAAGGTTTACAGAACCAACTAGTGTCTCATCAGTCAGTACATATATTGTTTTAGGACATTGGTTAACAACCCCATGACATGTCAACACTCTCCCTTCTCAAACTTGGGTTCCCTATTACCAGCTTTCCTGTCCCCTCCTGCCTTCTCATCCTTGCCCCTGGGCTGTTGTGCCTCTTTAGTCTGATTTTGTTTTATGGGCCTGTCTAATCTTTGGTTGAACATCTCGGGAGTGACTTCATTGCTGAGCTAAAAGAGTGTCCGGGGGCCATACTCTTGGGGTTTCTCCAGTCTCTGTCAGGCCAGTATGTCTGGTCTTTTTTTGTGTGTGTGAGTTAGAATTTTGTTCTACATTTTTCTCCAGCTCTGTCCAGGACCTTCTACTGTGATCCCTGTCAGAGCAGCTAGTGTGGTAGCCAGGCGCCATCTAGTTGTACTGGACTCAGTCTGGTGGAGGCCGTGGTAGTTGTGGTCCGTTAGTCCTTTGGACTAATTTTTCCCTTGTATCTTGTTTTCTTCATTCTCCCTTGCTCCTGAAGGGGTGAGACCAGTGGAGTATCTTAGATGACTGCTCACAGGCTTTTAAGACCCCGGATGCCACTCACCAGTGTAGAATGTAGAACATTTTCTTTATAAACTGTTATGCCAATTGAGCTAGATGTTCCCTGAGATTCTTTGCTAGTCTTAATAGTAGCATAAAAATAAATTTCTTTAAAATAATACTTTACAATACTCTAATACTTTTTAAAAGAGAATTTGTCAAATGTAAAATCTGGCAGAGAAATCCACAAGAAATAATCTGTTAACTAACAAACAAGAAAGAATCAACTACCCTGATGGAGGGTAAGTGGAGCTCTTGGGAAGAAACGCAGAAAGTCTGCATGCTCAGTTACCACAGAGGGAAGTAATACTGACAGGTATTCCTGAGAATATGAAAAAGGTATTCAGCATTACTGATAATGTTTGGATCTGCAATGTAAGCTGCTTGGGGGTTGATTGCTAAAACGGAAAAAAAATTGAAGGACTTGATAATAGGCTAGATGTGAGATACAGCAGGGGGAGAAGACAAAGTTACAAAAGTAATATAATGAAAATAATTTGAAAAATATTATGTCCCTTTATTTGGGGCATAACATAAGATACTGTCTACAGCATTATTATTTCCACCATCACCATCTATGTCAGCTTTTTAAATATGGAAACCTGGGAGATGGATGATAACATTGACCGAAATTGAGAATCTGGGAAAGGAGGCCAGTGATAAGAAAGACTGAAATATTGTAACATAAACCATGTAAGTGAGGAATTTGGCTATGCAAGAAAGGGCAAAAATAGGAGGGCAGTTTGCACATGTAGCATGACAATAAAGGAAAATTTTAAGAACGTGTATACATATTTGAACAGAGAAAGGAAAGAGCCAGCAGAGGAAAAAAAAATCAAAGGATTGAAGGTGATAAAGAACAACATAAGTGCAGAAGCAAGGTGAGTTTGCTGTGATCATTTATTATTAATAATATGAAATGTAAAAAAATAAAACCTTAAGTGCTTTGCTTACAATTATTAAGGTGATCTACGATCTTATTTTCAAAGAGATCTTAAGGTAATTTTCTAAGGGAGTTTAATTTCTGCATTTCCTGGATATTCATGGGTCTTCATTTATATCAAGAGTATTGCCTGGGCATAATTTTTAGAACTATACACATACGCACAAAGGTATGGGCCTCAATAATGAATGAAACTCTACAATGGATGTTTCAGTGTTTAAATGAGGTGAGTTATTTTGTGTGGCTTATAAACCGGCTCTTAAATATAATCTTCAATGCTTCAAGCAATGTCATCATTTTTGAAACAAGTGCGCCAACCTCCAAGCTATTAGCTGGAAAAGACCGAGATCATTTAGACCCAGAACTTCATAGGCATTGGTTTAAAATTCATTTGTTTCTTTCAACACTTTTACTCTTCTTCCAGTGAAGATTATTATTGGTTATTGTTGTACATATGGGATTTTTTCCCCTCACTTACATGGCTTAATTTCTCATTTGTGCTTATTATTCTCTATTCATTCATATTTTTTTCTCATTCAATCACTTTCAAATCTTTATTGAAAACCTACTGTGTGCCAAGTACAGGATTTTGGGCTGGAGGTCAAAGATTAAATATGCTTATTCTTGTTTTCAAATTCACCGTTTTCTAAATTTAATTGTGAAAGAACCAACTTTTCATGTAGATCAAACCTGTTTTCTCCCCCTAGATTAGAAGGTATGCTACCTTGTGATTTCTTGTGGTAAAATTATGTTTATCATAGTGAAAATAAGTTTGAGATCAATGGTGTTAGTGTTTTCCTAATTAAATGAACATTATACTTTCTCTCTCTCTTTATGTCCTCAGATGAAATGAGGAGAATAATACTAGAATAACTACAGTTGAAAGAAAGGAAATGAAAGGAGAAAATTTTACCGTTTGGACCTTTTTTTTCCTAGAGGACTTTTCAGATATCCAAAGTTAGAGATTGTTCTCTTCATCGTCAGCCTTGTAATGTATCTGGTAACCCTCTTGGGCAATAACACTCTTATTTTAATCACTATCAGAGATTCACGCCTTCATACTCCCGTGTACTTGTTCCTTGGAAATATCTCTTTTATGGATATTTGTTACACGTCTGCTTCTATTCCCACTTTGCTGGTGAACTTGCTATCATCTCAGAAAATGATTGTCTTTTCTGGGTGTGCTTTACAGATGTATCTGTCCCTTGCCATGGGTTCAACGGAGTGTGTGCTCCTAGCTGTGATGGCATATGACCGTTATGTGGCCATTTGCAATCCTCTGAGATACTCTATCATCATGACCAGGCAGGTCTGTGTGCACAGATGGCCTCTGTCTCCTGGGACACAGGCTGCCTTACTGCTCTGCTGGAAACCAGTTTTGCCCTGCAGGTACCCCTCTGTGGGAATCTCATTGATCACTTCACGTGTGAAATTTTGGCTGTTCTAAAATTAGCTTGTACAAGTTCACTGCTTATGGACATGATCATGTTGGTGATCAGCATGCTCCTCTTGCCCATTCCAGTGCTCTTAATTTTTATCTCTTACGTCTTCATCCTTTCCCCTATGCTGAGAATCAGTTCAGCAGAGGGAAGAAACAAAGCTTTTTCTACCTGTGGTGCCCACTTGACTGTGGTGATTTTGTATCATGGGGCTGCCCTCTCCATGTACCTAAAACCTTCTTCATCAAACTCACGAGAAATAGACAAAATCATCTCATTGCTTTATGGAGTGCTAACCCCTATGCTGAACCCCATAATTTACAGTTTAAGAAACAGGGAAGTCAGAGATGCTGTGAAAAAACTACTGGGCAAAATACGTTTATATCAAACACATGAAAATCTCTGACTGGGTTCCTTTTACCAGGGATGTGCCCCTGACAGAATTCATCAGAGAAATTCTAGACAACATATTGCCTCTTGGAATTCTGACTTGAAACTTAGCTGTATAATTTCATAGTTATGAGATATTTGTACCCCGAGTGATGTTATGCTTATGGACAATGATAGATTCCAATTTGCATTTATTAATATTTTCTGTCTTTTGTGTGTATGTGCATATTTTGTGGTTGTGGGAAGTACTGGACCATAAAGTCATCACATGTTGACTCTGAAAGGAAACTTGGATAATTTTAGAGTCAGTGAATGTTAGTACCAGAAGAAACTTGGACATCTCTTCTTTAAAGCCCTCCTGGATTGAGATGGGAGCATAAAGAAACAAATAGTAGGATTAGCCTGAATTATGCAAATGAGAAAACAGAATAAAAGAAAAATTAGAAGACTTGCTCAACATCACACATTTGTAGAAATGGAACTACAACCCAACCTTGCGATTTCTTGGCCAGAGTGCATTCTACTACACCATGGTGGCTCCCTAATTACCCTTGCTCATTGAGAACTCCAGATGAAAACTCCCTGCCTTCCTGAGACCTTTCCCAGAGATGCCTACTTGCTTTGCTCACTGCCGACTCAGCTTTTCCAAGCACATAGATACTTATGCACACTGAATCTGTTTCTATACCAGTATGCCACCCATACACCAATTAAGTCTTTTTCATGCGTGTTTGTCTATTTTCTTCACTGGATGATTGACTTCACGAGGGCAAGGATTCCTATTTATTTTATATCCTTTATGTGTATAGCAGTCATTTGGTAAATAAATAAATTTATCAGCTTTAAATCAATCACCTTATTTTAGAAGTCAGTACCACTCATGGAATTTAGGAAGAAGAAACAACCAGGGCAATGAGGTATATGGCTTTATAACTATTCAACAATTACAGAGACCATATTTACATTAGTTACTTTTAATCGTTGATTTGTAAAAAATATTATTTGTTAAAAGTGCAGATTCTGGGCCTCTACTCCCAGAGATTCTGATTCAATAGCTCTGGGGTGGGGCCCAATAATCTGCAGTTATAATAGAGACCCCAAGATATTCTTATATAGGTGGTGACACGACCATACTTTGGGAAACATTATTTCCAGTGAAAAGCTACCATACCAAAAGAAAAGTAGCATTAGTTCCTCTTTCTCCCTTTTTCCTTTCTTAATTTTCTCCGTCATTTTTTTTGCTCTTACCTGCCTACCTCCACTCCTAGAGGAGAGGAGAGGTTTTGAGTGGAGAAAGGTAAACACATTTTACAAATTTCAAAATATGAGAGACTTAAGAAGTTTTAGGACTGGATGTTGCGTTTTGGATTTTTTTTTTTAAACTCTTAGACCATTCCCTTAGATTTAGGGCTTCCATTACATGCTGCTCGATGTGTAACTCACACATGAAGAAGCTTAAAATAATCACATAGTAAAATTTTGTTGGTGGACCAAGGGGACAAATTTGATGCCTAAGGACAGATTTGATGTCTGATATTGCTGCCAAGAGATTCTTGGAAACAAACCTGAGTAAATGGCTTTGGAGTAGTTGGAAGAGTTGATCAGGAAGTACTCTTCCTGGAAAAATTATTTTTCTGCTTAGATATCTTAACTTCCCCAATACAACTGTCACAACCATTCTCTGGCAATTTCAGAATCATTTTGAAGAGTCATTTTATAGTAGGTTTTTATTAAAGTAGAGCTGAACTTTACGTTAGCATAGAACTAAATTTGCTAGCATACGTGTGGTACCAAACATAAGCAGGAATAACCGGAACAATAGAAATAGCTAAAATTTTTACTTCAAAGAGTGAACTATGAGAACTTGAAGACACAGAAATTGAATACCTTGTGTAACTAGTACAACGGTTTTAATACAAGGAACTGAGCAGACTGACATAGAACCAAGCATTTCAGAATGGGATATGGACCAGAATGGGACACCAAAAGAGATTAGAAATGACCCAGATGTCATGGAGGGCCCAGGACTGAACCCAGGCAGATATCTCCCTAGTAGCTCTTGGCTAAAAGATTAGTAATTACAGTCATATGTTTATGTTAAGTCACTGTGAATGGCAAATAAGTATTTTTAAATATAAATGCATTTTGTATATTATACGCAATATGAAAGTTAATTATTGGTAAATAGTGCGCTCTTTCATGTGGATTAGGTTCCATTTAAAACACTACTAATTACAATCATTACTTTTACAGAGTCTCAGGTAAGGGGTCCTTTTCAGGTATTGTTAGAGAAAGGAATACATCAGACAGAGAAAGTAAAACCACTGACAGAGAGCCAGTTCTTACATGAATGATTACATGATCAGGTATATGCTTTAGCAAAATCTGACCATGTCATTTCACTGCTTAAATCCCTTAGTGGCTTCTCATATCCTAAAGCTTGAATCCCGTAAGATGACAAGCAATGACTTTTATAACCTAATTACTTACTATTTACATCCTTTGTTCTAGGCATACAAAATTCCTCTTAGTTCCATGAATGCGCTGTGTTTTCAATTCTTTTATTAAGAGTACCAGAATTTGTGGAGCCCTGGTGGCGCAGTGGCTAAGAGCTCAGCTGCTAACCAAAGATCCGCAGTTCGAATCCACCAGCCCCTCCTTGAAACTCTATGGGGCAGTTCTAGTCTGTCCTGTAGGGTTGCTATGAGTTGGAATTGACTCGATGGCAACGGGTTTGTTTTTTATTTTTATCACAATTTGTAATTCGATAATAATTTGTGGGTTTACTTGTTTAACGTCTGTCTCCTTCACTAGTCTGTGGGTTCGTCAAGACAAAACCAAACCAAACCAAACTCGTTGCCATTGAGTCGATTCCGACTCATAGCTATTGTATAGGACAGAGTAGAACTGCCCTATACGGTTTCCAAGGAGTGCCTGGTAGATCGAACTGCCGACCTTTTGCTTAGTAGCTGTAGCTCTTGACCACTACACCACCAGGGTTTCCCATCATGACAAGGACCATATTAATTTTATTTACCACAGTATATCTAGGACTTAGCATGTTATCTGGCACAGAGAAGACATTCAGTGCATACTTGTTGGGAAGGATTAAGTGCTCAGTGAACATGTGTTAAATAAAAATATGCATGTAATGAACTTTTGAAGTCTATTCAATTAGGTACTTGACCATACCTGTGTCGTATACCTATCTTTGCTGGTAGTGGTGACGTGGTGATGGAAGTGGTAAGGATGTTTACCCAGAATTAAAGAATAAAAATTGTTATCATTAGTTCCTAGTATGGAATCTTTAAGATTAATTAAAGTTTTATATTAACCACATTTACTTTTTCAATAAAGATAGCATAGTGTTAGATAAGGAAAATGTACTAAAAATTATTTTTTTCAGGCCTTTGGTCTTTGGCATTATGTTTGATACAAATTTTAATGATCATGATGGAGAAACGTACATAACATGAAAGCATAGAGTGACTCATAACTGGTTGTATCTGATGGACACTTGAAGAGTATTCTGAATAGAATGAATTCTTAATTTGTTTATAGAGGGGATTCAAATATCACACAAATGGGTTTTCCACACGTCCCTTAGTACCTTGATTCCTCATTTAAAAATGAACAATTATAACGTAATATCTTGTAGCACTTTTTCATTGTCAGAGATATAAATAACTATAACTTTTAGACCTATCCAAACTATCTAATTATAGAACTTATCTCCATGCATACATGAGAAAGAAGATAAGTGACCATACAGAAGCAGAAGCTCATGGACTGACTTGTGATTATACAATATTCCCCCCTCCTTCCCTTTTTTGTGACAAGGCACTGCTGAAATAGGAAGCAAGTATTGAGCTGGTATGTGAAGAAACAGTAAATGATGTGGGGAGGGGTAAAGAGTGTCTTTGATAATGTGACAGCTTGTGTAAAAGCCCCCTGGCAGAAGGAGGAATGGTACATGGAACCAAAAGAAGGCCAATGTAATAGGAGCATGGAGAACAAGGGAAAGAGTGTCGATGATGAGAGATTGTGGAGAGGAGGGATCTCCAGAAATCAATCCCCAAAAGTTGTGTGTGAACTCCTGGGCTAATCCCCAAGTCTCATTGCACATGTATGGCTCTGGCCCTAAACAGAGAACTCAACTACAAGGTAGACTACTTCCTAGGTCCCAAATTTGCCAACAGATGGCACACATACAGAACAGATCTGAATAACAGCAAAGTCTTTGAAAACTGAATTCACAGAAGATGGTTAGTAACTTGAGGCTTGAGCCTAGCCAGGTCAACCACCTTTTAAAACACACACACACACAAAATCATCACTTTCTGTAGTATTTAAACAAGACCCAAAGTCTCATAACATAGTATTTAATATGTCCAAGGTACAATTCAAAAACACTGAACATATGAAGAATCAGGAAAATCTCAACACTTTGCAAAGGGAAAGATAACAGATACCAACCCCAAGATAACAAAGATGTTGGGACAACTAGACAAAGACTGTACAGCTGCTATCATAACCACACTCCAAGAAGCAATTGCAAACACTCTTTGAATGAATGGAAAGATAGAGAATCTTAACAAAGAAATAGAAAATTAAAAAAGAAACAAAATAGAAATTTTAGAATTGAAAAATACGATAGCTGAAATAAAAATAATGTACTGGATGGGCTCAAGAGCAGAAAGTACATTACAGAAGACTCAGTGAATTTGAAGATAGACCAACAGAAATTATCCAATCTAAATATCAGAGAGAGAGAAAAAAAAAAGATTGAAAAAAAAAATACACAGGTATGAAAAACTAGAGTTTATCTACCAGTTGTTCATTCAAGCAAAAATGCTTTCCCACAAAAAACGTGATTCGTACAGCTCACAACTCAATTGCACAAGTGCTTTTCCTCAAGATAACTGTGTTACTGCAGGATGCAGCAGAAGTTCTTACTTCCCATTTTGTCTCAGTGAATATTAAAAAGACATGTGTCCAAAAGTCAAGATTTAATAA